CTGCAGGAGCTGCAGAAGCACGGCATTCCCAGGAAACTTGAAGCTGTCTCAGCTAGTTCAGGAATGTCAGCTCTCGCTTATGAACACCTTGGAAATAACACTTGAGCTTCGATCATTTTCCTCATATAACGGCTGAGGCTGAACTTTATTAATAGATGCCTATTTAACCGCCGGTTGTTCGAAGCAAACAAGTGACAACGTTACGCACGGTATCCTCTTTTCGTTTACGGTGATTCGGTCACGGTGATTTTAACGAAGATGGAGATCGTACCGAATGTTCGATAATTTTGAATTTGAGCTGAAACTTGGTTTGTTTGTTAATCGAGTCGCGACCCGATGATCCACAAAATTTGCATTCCCGGCTATTCTGCCGTGTCTGTTTCTTTCTCAGAAGCGTGGAAGATAAATAACCTTGTATAAAATTGAGAAGCAGCGAGACGACCCATTTCCTTTCCACGCTAAAAATTTCACGCTCACTCGTCAACGTAGGATTCACGGTGTGAAATGAAATTTCGCTCTTGGAGAAGAAGGTTACCTACCGTGCGATGTCGCGATAGTTTCGAATAAAGTCGGTAAAAATGACGCGACATCCGTCTAACTGGCAAATGAGCGTCGCCTTCTATTTCAATTGTCACGTCGGCATGTTTGTTATCTGCAGAGTGGAAAATGCCAGAGTGCACGTTGTTTCTCTTGCAGTCGAAGTCGAGAGGGCTTCTTGCTACTCCGTGTTCGGATCGGAGAAAGCGATTTTTCAAGAACAACATCGGACCGCTATGGGTACGTACGTACATATATCGATCACGATGATGTTTGGCTACAACGGAGAGATATCCGACGAAGTAGTTTCTTCGATGCACAACGCACGTCACTCTTCGTTGCTTCGACTTTTCACCTGTATCTCTTGATATCGAGGCATGGTCGTACCACCGAGCCACTCTCAGCACAGCACACGACCTACGTCTTCTATCCTACGCTTGCAGCCATCTCCTCTCCTCTCCTCTCCTCTCGTCTCGGCGAGGTGTGATATGGCGCGAGATAGAGTCGAGTTTCTCTTTTGAGATTTAATTTTCCAACGTTTCAGATTGAATCCGGGCTTCCGTACCTGTCTAGGAATCTTTGCTCTCCCTCGGCCTTTCTTCTCTCTTTAGATTCATTCACTTTCAGATTCACTCTCTTTCTCTCTCTCTCTCTCTCTCTCTCTTTCTCTCTGTCTGTCCCTCGCTGCCTCTCTGCAGCCCCGTTGAAGCATTTCTAAGTAATGAACGCGAGAAACACCGCGGAAAATGGCTTAATCAATCGGTGGGAAAGCCGTCGCAGCTCGAACACAGTCCTCTCTTCTGTCCCTGCTAGTCTTCCACCGATATTAGCGCAGCCTGAAATTCGTCTCTCTTGCTCTCTCCGTTCCTCCCCCGCTTTCCTCGAGTGGGAAAACTCGACGCGCCACCGTCGTTCCGCAGGGGGAGTTGTACGAGCAGTTTCGTTACGGCTAACCGGTGTTCCCCTGTTTCACGTTTCCCGTGCGACTTGAACGTGGCGGCTCCTTTCGAGTACGCTTGTCGTGCCGACTGCACAGCTAACAAAATGCGCCTCGGAATGAAATATGTTTACCGAGAGAGAGAGAGAGAGAGAGAGAGAG